GACACACATAATCTAGAGAAATAGAATCTTAGGGTTGGTTAACATCAATCTAATAAAAGCCACTGCTCTTTAGGACAAAAATGAGGGTCATCACCTGATTTGCGGTACTTTAACCATTGTTGAGGATGGGTTGGGGAATGGTTGATTTTGCTTTCTCAAACTAGGAACAAAATTAGAAGTTTCATGTAAACTAAAATAAAAGAAGAAAAGGAAGGAGGAGGAGAAGCAAAAACAAAAACAAAAGCAAAACCAGTCCTTGAAGGCCTGCCTACTCTTCTTGCACCAACTACAGCATGAGCCTCTGCTGGGAACTTGCATGTGTGTCCATGTGTCACAGTAAATCAGCTCAGCTTTCTCACCCGGGCTGGGGAGAGCACGAGAACAAAGGCCCAGAGCAGAAAGGGCAGCAATGGGAGGAGAGGAGAGTCCTACCAAGCCACAAAGAAGGCAAGGAAGCACTGTGCTCAGGCAGGGTGCACCTCCATGGGGAAAGAATGCCCCCAGCAGAGGGCCAGAGAGACCCCAGGAGACAGCCCAGAGGAGGCAGGAGGAGGTACAGCCCCAGGAAGAGCGGCTCCAAAATGATGACCCTTTGGAGGAACCGTGAATTTCTCTAATCAACGGATTTCCTTGGTGTCTAAAATGCTTCATTTAGCAAGACTTCTTCTGGGCTGAAATTGAATAGGTGTAATTGACAAATGCTTGAATTGGGGTTCCACTCTGGGGGAAAAATACCTCTCCACTGGCTTCTCAAATGTAATTATGGAAAAAAGATACACGTTAAGGGCTCTTCTTCCAATTCAATTTGGGGGAAAGTCCCTTCCTGATCTGAACCCCACCTCCTGCACACACACACGCACGCACGCACGCATGCACACACACAGACAATGGCAGAGATGGGGCTTTCTTTCTCAAGAGACGCACTAGGGCCACAGATGAGGCAGCTGTCAGAGAGCCAGGCTATAATCAGCTTTAACTGGCTTACAGCCTACAGAGGACACAGACCCTCTTATTTCTACGGGAACAGGTCAGGCTGTTGACCTTGGGATAAACGTGGGGGTGGTCCGGGTTGGTTTCTGTTCCCAACTTCTTCCTTATGCAGGATCTCAATGCAAAACTTACATTGCAGGTCCCAAGAATTTAAAGATGCACCTAGAAGAGGGTACCTTAAAATTCCGGCTTCAACTACATGTAACATGTTACCCCCAGCATGATTTATAAGGACAGTAAATCAATGAGACAGTAAAAGGAAAAGTTAAAACGCAACTAAAAATGGGTTTTTCAGGCGAGTCTGAAATGCTACAAGATTGCTAGTTAAGAACAGTATCCCTTTTCTCAACCTAAGTGTTATACCCCTCCCTCTTCCCCAGCATCACAAACTGAGTGCCTTGTAACTTAGAAACTATGATGAAATGTGCAGGCTATTGGGTACACAGGTGGCCAAAGACAGGGTCCCTACACAGTTGAGCTGTTTTGGTGTGGCCGGGCAGCTGACCCTTCCCATGGACCCAGGTGTCTACTGTAAAAAGATACGGACTAGATCTGTACCACAAAAAAATAAATAAAAAAGAAAGAAAGAAAGAAAAAAGAAAGGAAAGGAAAGGAAAAAAAAGGCATTCACTCGAATCTTACAATGGGAGGTGGGAGTGGTGGGTGGGTGAGGGTGGGGATAGAAAAAGCAAGGGAAAAAATCTAAACAGCAGGATACGACAATAAATGGGAAAACAGCAAGAGAAAAAGCACACTAGGTTAATATAGGAAAACTAGTTCTTTATTGAGAGATTGTATATTAGTATTAGTGGATTCTGTGTGTAACAATGTCATCATGCACACGATACAAAAAAAAAAAGGCTGGGCCCACCATGCTTCGGAAGGGCGACAGAACAAAAGCAGCGTACAATGAGCAGATGGCCGGGGCTATACGACCACAGTACGTTTCAGCAGGGTGACATCTCTAACCGAGCGCGGTACATTGTCAACTGGGGGATGTAAAAAAATACAGATCATGCTTTAGTTTTAGTACAAGAAAAGGTGAAAAAGATACACAACCAAAAGGATATTTGATACAGAAAAAATTACCCACAAAATAAGAACAAGAAGTAATTCAGCACAGCAGAACACGCTATCCCTGTTTAATGGAAAACCATTTTGCTGGGGATTCTTTCTTCTTCTTCGATTTTTTTTTTCTCTCTCTCTTTCTTTTCAGATTGCCAAATGGCAATCTGGGGCAGCCTCTTGGGACTTAATTTTGGAAGGGCCCTCGAAGTAGGGGCCTTATTCTTTCATTATTGCCGCTGTTTTGTTTCAGTTTTCAAGCAGGTCTGGCTGGTGAGGCAGCAGAAGGGAGCCGGCTGTTAAAGGGGCAGCTCTGAGGGCCAGAGCGGATGTCCAAAGATGCTCTTGACATTGTACAATTACACAATTAAGACACCACGGCCATGGCTCCCCCTTAAGCTAGGGACCTTGCTGCACCAAATTTTCAGAGGCTATGGAGTAGAAGCAACTGCCATTTCATCAAAGATTTTCATAGATAGATAGATATATACTCATTATTTTTTGCCTCCGACTAAATGTCATCTCTTCACTTATTCCTGGGTGCTGCCAAGAAGCTAGCTGATGGCCACCCAGATAAGCGGGAAATGGGGTGCTAGAGCCTCCAAGCCAAGGCAAAAGGAATCCACTTAACAGGGATTTACAGTGCAATGTACTCAGCTAAACAAGATGAAGATACAAAAATGGTTATTTCTCTACATCTATTCTGAAATGGCCTACATCCTACACTACTACAATGGAAACTAAAAAGAACAGACTTAAGCTGGCAAGCTATCTAATAGTTTTACAAGAAGATTGTGGTGTAGGACCTTGTTGGGTTAAGCATTAGTATCCTCTATCAAAAGGTCATGAATTCTTATCTCATTGTGCTAAATTTTACCCACAACCGGACTCACCCTCAGCCCTTGAATTTCCTGTGGGCGTGTTTGCCATGAAAGTAAACTTTGACTGACGGGCAGAATTTGTTTCGTTGGGGTGTTTTTGGGGGGAGGTGGGGAGTGTATTAAAAATAAAATTTAAAGGCAGCTGAGCAATTTGAATTTCAAAACGTAAAATCGGCATCCTGCAATGGTATTTAGAGACCCGTGGTATTAATGAGGATGATAATGATTTAATCAGGATAATTATACTTTCAGGCTCAACATCCTTCTTAATCATTTTTGAATTTCTGCCTAGTGTAATGTTCCACACCCGTTTTAAGAGGAAATGCCAAGTAATAAGACATAATTGTGCATTGGGGGAGGGGGTTGGCATTTCAAGGGAGATCTCACCCAGCCCCCGCCCCACTCTTATTCCTCACACACCCACCCCACACCCCCTCCACCGGCCTGAGATAGGGATACTGCCGCTTAAATAGCAATGCCTTCCTCAGATGGAGACAGGAGATGGTTAAGAGGGGTGTCACAATACAGCTAAATGCGGAGGCAGAAGGGTCACAGCGCACACAGCAGCGAGTTGACCATTCACTGAGCTACACAATGAAGAAAAAAAAAGATTTGATAAATGCAGAATGTCATCATTCTATCATCACACAAAACAACTGCGGTTCAAACAGGCCTAAGGGGGCCAACCTTGCCTTTTAGGTTCTGGGGAGAGGCGTGGGGCTGGGGACAGCTGGGGCTGGAAGAAAGAGGGCTGGGCTTTCATTTTCTTGCCCAATCGGGCCCCTGGGGCGCACTAAAGCGCTGGCCCTGCGACCCCACCCCCTGCTCTGACTCGGTGGAGCAGCCCTGGTCGCAAAGGGAAGACATCATTCTGTGCGTGAGGGAGGGGGGGAGGAGAGAGGGCCTTAGCCAGCAGGGATTTAAGCAGACTTGGAGTGGGAGAGGGTAGCAGAAACATTTCCAAGAAGAGAAATGTGAGTCCAGAGGCAGAATACAAAAAGAAAAAAAAAAAAAAATGAATCTAAATGCATCCCGGATTTGCTTTGGGAGGTGGGAATTTTTGATTAAAAGAAAATGGAAGAAATGTAGGGGGTGGGGGGAGAAGAGGGGGAAATCAAGCTATTGTTGGAGCAGAATGTAAGGGAAAGGGGATGTGGGGAAAGGGACCGTGCAAACACACCCCATATATCACAGTTAAAAACAAAGCCGGCGCCGGCCTCCTGCTTTGTCAACGGCCGCCCGGGGCAAAGGCCTGGCGTGGAGGCAGCGACCCACCTCATCCTCACACACAGCGCAACACCCGAGGGCCGGGCACCCCGCTCCGGCCGGGACCAGGAGTGCACGGCAGGGCACGTCTGACTCCGAGGCGCGCACACACTTATACACACGCTCACAGACACACTCGCACCCAAGCATTTTGAACCCATAACTGCAACTGTCATACAAAGACAATGGTGGGGGGTGCGGGGTTTGGATTGCACAAGGGCGATACAAAAAAGGGTTAAAGGGGAGAAAAGGATGGGACGGGACGGGAAATCGAGCAAGCGCCCACCAGAGGGTGGGGGCTGGTGCCAGATGCCAGCTAACCAGCCTTCGGTATCAATGACCAAAAAGATGAAGAAATACAAACACAAATAACACAAAAACATATATATGCTTCAAAAAAAACCACAAATAACAGAAAACCAAGTATGCTTGCACACACACACGCACGCACGCACGCACACAGTCATGTATCTCTCGCCTTCTTTCGATCATACAGGGCTAGGTATTAGGGAAGGGGCTGTGATTTGGGGGAACCGCGTCCGCCGCAAAGAATAAAAAATGGGGCTGGGGAGGGAGGGACCCAAATTCGCCAAACCCTAACTTCACTACAAAAGCTCCCACGAGGGCGGCCACCCCCACACTGGGGGGTCCCCCAAAAGGGAGAGGGGAGAAGCCACCGCTCGCCCTGCGTCCCCGCGGGTGTGCCCTGAGCCCCCCGCCGCCCGCGGCGCCCGCCCCCGCCCCGCTGCCTGCGGCGATCCACGCTCCGAAGCGGACCCCGAAAGGAAAAAGCGATACCTCTGTTTCGCACAGAGCCAAACACTGGAAGCACGAGATAGCCGACGTGGACCAGGACCATCCTGGCTCCTCGCGCGGCGGCGGCGGCGGCGGCGGCGGCGGCTGCGCGCGGGCCCTTTGTGGCGCGGCTCCGGGGCGCGGGCGCGGGCGGCGGCGGGGCTGCGGGAGCCGCCGGGGCGGGAGGCGGAGCGCGGGGCGCGGGCGGCGGTGGGGCGGCGGCTGGCGGGGAGACAGATGGCCCATGGAAAGGCTCCCTTCCCGGCCCCTCTCGACATTCAAAGGCGCTGGGGCCGCAGCTGCCGCCACACAAAGGCGCGCGCAGCCAATGGGAGCGGAGCGCAGCGCGGCGCGGCCTCGCCGGAACCGCGGGGGACAGCGGGGACCGCGGGCGCGCGGGTGGCGGGGGGAGGGAGGGGTGACGGCTGCGAGGGCGCGGGCGGCCAATCGCAGAGGCCTGCGGCCGGGCGCGGGGAGGGGGAGGGCAGGTCAGCCCCGCGGGGCGCGTGGAGCCTGGCGCGGGTCCCTGGCTGCCCGCAGGCCCGAGAGCGCGCCTGAAGCGCCCTGCACACAGACACGGGCGGCGTGCACACGGAACGTGCACACACCGAGGGGGACGTGCACCTAGACATGTGGAAGTGCATTCGTGCGTGCGGAGAGAAAGGCACGAGCGCACCAAGTGCACACGACCCAGAGGTCCTTGCACACCGCGCACAGGTCACTCGGGGACGTGCGCATGGGGGCTGGCGCACGTGCAGAGCCTGACTGCGGGCACAAGTGAAGGTGGAAAGCGAGCAAGCAGCAGCACACAGGATCAGGCACTGACACACAGACATGCACACATCGAAAGCCTTGTTAAGGCAGGACACGTGCCAAGAACACATTCCCAAAGACACACAGAGGGAACGCACAATGCAGATATGTACAGTTGCAGGCTCCCTGCCCGTGGCAACGCTTTGTTGCTTTGGCAGAGCACAAAGCTCACAATAATTATTTGCTGAATTGAAATCCACTCATACACTGAAGTATGTGCAGGCCGAAAACCCAGAGCCACTTGGCCACCATTCACCCTGCTCTGACACAGGCACAAGCAGCCATGTGCACAGACACGCCCACTTCCTCAGCGGGAAGGCGAACATGACATCAGGGCTAGGAGGCTCCTTACATTCACACGTGGAGGCACAGCCACGGTGTCACGTGTGGCCTGTGGCTGGTCTGCCAGGTACAAGCAAGACAGAAGGGAAGAGCCTTCACCCCACAGCCCTGGTGTCAGGTGGACTGCTCAGACTGTGTCTGTGCACACTCAGCCCACCTGCTATGAAAATTCCCAGCACAACCCTCAGGCCAAGATCTTAGTCCACATCAAGGCCAGAGCCTGCCCAGAGCCCATCCACAGGCAGCAAGATGGAGGACGTGTCCTACAATGGGACTTGTCTTCGAATCCCAATGACTTTATTTAATGAGTCTGGTAAAAGTTAGATGGTAGAATCATAGTATATGGAGCTAAAAGGAATCTAATACAACCTAACCTTCCCTCTTTTTTTTTTTTTTAATTTTTTAACTTCTTTTTAAATGTATTATTGAGAGATTGAGAGAGACAGAGCATGAGCAGGGGAGGAGCAGAGAGGGGGAGACACAGAATCTAAAGCACACTCCAGGCTCTGAGCTGTCAGCACAGCGCCTGACATGGGGCTCGACCTCACAGACTGCGAGGTCATGACCTGAGCCGAAGTCAGATACTTAACCAACTGAGCCACCCAGGCACCCTCCCCCGCCCCCAACCCCCCGTTTTAGAGACAAGGCAGAAGAGGATTGTTCATGGAACACATGAGTAAGCTTGTGTCTGGGTATAGGGAGCCCGTGCAGGACCTCTTGACATCCCAACACTTGCAGTGCAGAGGAGTCTCAGGACAGTAAAGGCAATCACCAAAAAGCCTGCTAGGTGCTGGGATGGAGTTTAGGATGGGGTGCTGGGGAAGGGGATACCTGGGGGCGGGCACCTAGCCCAGTGGGTGAGAAGGGGGTGGGGGCAATTGTGTTGACTGCAGGAAAGTGACTTCTAAGCTGAGAAAAAGAATGAAGGAGTGAGGTGAGGCAAAGAAGGAGAGAGTAAAGGGAAAGCCACAGTCTGATTTTGCCACAACAAGTACCACATTCCCAGTGCCAGTGGTAGGGCAGGGTCCCGGGACACACCGTTGTCTCCCTCCCAAGCACACATATCCCTCAGATGTCTTCCCCACCCAACACCTGTGACTGCCCAGAAGAACTCAGGGATGAACCAGGGGAGGAAACCTCCCTCCAGGTCCAAGCCCCCCTCTGGAGGGTCATTTCTACAAGATTCTGCCACCAGCTCTTTCCTGTTTTCATGATCTGTCAAATAAACACAATGTCACCACTAATAAAAATTCTTTTAAAAATGAATAGACTGGGGGGCGCTTGGGTGGCTCAGTCGGTTAAGCATCTGACTTCGGCTCAGGTCATGATCTCACAGTTCGGGGGTTCAAGCCCTATCTCATGCTCTGTGCTGATGGCTAGCTCAGAGCCTGGAGCCTGCTTCAGATTCTATATCTTCCTCTCTCTCTGACCCTCCCCTGCTCAGGCTGTCTCTCTCTCTGTCAGAAATAAATAAAAAGCAGTTAAAAAAATAAAATGCCTCTTAAAAAATGAGAAGACTGGGGCGCTGGGGTGGCTCAGTTAGTTAAGTGGCCAACTTCGGCTCAGGTCATAATCTCACGATTTGAGGGTTCAAGCCCCGTGTTGGGCTCTGTGCTGACAGCTCAGAGCCTGGAGCCTGCTTCTGACTCTTGTCTCCCTCTCTCTCTCTGCCCTTCCCCTGTTCATGCTTTCTCTCTCTCTCTCTCAAAAGTAAATAAAGCATTTTTTTAAAAATTTTAAATGAAAAGACCTTAACAAACACCTAACTACTAGAATTTTTTTGCTGTTGCATTTCAGGCTTTGCCAATATGCATATAGACCAGATTTGTCATCATAATCTACATATTTTTTATTCTGCATTTTAATCTTAACATTTTAAAAGACATTTCCCCATCCTTTGATGTAATTATCTTCTTAATTTTGATTTAAAAAATTTTGATTTAAAACGTGATTATCCAACACGTGAAGGTACTGTGAAATTACTTAATCTTTATTCTTGAGCATTTAATTCACTCCCAGTCTTCACTTGTTAGAGATCACACAATAAACTTCATGCCTGTAGCTTGTTGCTTTTGTTGAGCTGTAAGCTTAGAGCAAACTTCTAGGACTGGCATTCTTGAGTCGACAAATATAGAAAAACTTTATGGCTCTTGCCACATACTGCTTCTGAAATGATTAAACTCATGGTCAATACTACCAACAATATACGGTGTGCCAATTTCTCTGCATCCTTCCTCACTTGAGTAGCTCTTCTTTTTTTTTTTTTTTTAATATTTTTATTTATTTCTAGGAGAAAGAGAGAGAGAGAGACAGCATGAGCAGGGGAGGGTCAAAGACAGAGGGAAATACAGACTCTGAAATAGGCTCCAGGCTCCGAGCTGGCAGTCAGCACAGAGCCCGACGCGGGGCTCGAACCCACAAACTGCGAGATCATGACCTAAGTGAAAGTCAGACACCCAACCGACTAAGCCACCCAGGCGCCCCCCCCCTTTTTTTTTTTAATCCTACTTTATATCAGAGCAGCTCACAAAGGCTGATGACCGCCCAACCTGACCTCCACAGCAGAGTGGTTAAGGCTATAAAACCTGAAACCAGATTGCCTGGCTTCACATTCTGGCTCTGCTACTTATTAGCTTGGACAAGTTACTTAACTTCTCTAGGCCTTGGTTTCAGTATCTGTAAAATGAGTGTGATTTTAGCAACGTTCCTCATAGGATTAATGTGAAGATCAAGAGAACTATGCACTGGAGTACATACAATAGTGCCAGCAATTCAGCTTTTCGTTCTTACCCCTTTACTTATCTGTCTCTCCTTGCCCACTACCTCTTGCTCTCCTGTTAGTATTTATTTTTGCCTAGTTAAAGCATTTAGTGTAAATTATACTATAACATGGAACACTCATCAGACAAAAGCAAACATCAAGGAATGGACCAAGAATTATACCGTTACATGGAATATCCATCAGACAAAGCAAACATCATGAGTCCAGTTATTAACTGTACCTTTCTTCTCAAACATCAGAGAAACATGAAAGACAGATGCCCACATTCACCAATATGTCCACATTCACACACAGACATGAGGCTCCTAAGAAGGAACTATTTTGCATTACAAGAAGGGGTTTCATTTTGAATGAAACCTTGGGTGTTTACCATGCCTCAGCCTCAATGCAACTATCTGACTAATGGGAATATAATAACCCCTGTCAGACTACCTAAAAGGTTTATTGTGAGGATCAAATGAGCAGATAGCTGTGGAGCCACGGCTAAATTCTAGAAGCATAGAACATGGAAAATTCTAGAAACAAAAATATAGTGGTATCTCCAAGAATGAAATTTGATTATTGTTCTGCCCATCCCCTTGTCTTATGGATAAGGAAACCGGGGCTCAGAAATGGGGTTATGAACAAGGGCACCACCATTCCTGGACGAGTTAGAACAAGAATCCTTGTCTCCTGGCACATAGCTTGTATTGCTGCTACTTTCCACTGGTTCTTCATCACACCAGGATGGCTGTTTCCCACTCTTCCCCACATCAGTTAATGTCCACGGTATACAATAAAGCAGACTCCTGAGAATATGAAGATATGTAGAAATATTTCATTCCCTGGGGTTTTTCTTTAAATGTGCTTCCTGCCCCCCTGCCAAAGTCAATACCTAGAGCGTGTTTGCAGGTTTAGCATGTAACATTTGGGAAGAAATAGTTTAAAAATGAAAGGTGAAGAAATATTTAAAAAATGAAATCTGTAAGTCCTGTTTCAAACTGGAGAAACATCACCCTATAAGGTAGCAACAGCACGGTCACCTTGAACCTTGACCCATGCTTTGATTCCTCACTCTCTTCTGTCTCCGCCTTGGCTACCTGCTGAAGAGATTCGACAGAACTTCACGATTCTGGGGCCCAGACACATCTGTTTTGAGAACTCCTCTTTTGGAGCCCAACATTAGACCGCCATTGCCCTTTAGTCAACAAATGGAAACAAACCTAGCGCATCAGCCACGCAGACATCCACAATTTTCCAAAACAGACGACAGGGTTCCTGCTCGTCTCCGGGTTGGGTTGGCGTCAGGTAGACACAGCTTCCAAAATCTGTGCAAGGCGGCTGGACTTCAGTAGACGGCCCTCCATGACTGGTGTCACAACAGCCTCTGTGCCGACATGTCATGGGTTCTAGACGCAGCGTGCTGCAGGAAGGGGCACGGCCCGGGGCACTGCTGGCCACTGGGAGTCAGGGCATAACCGCAAGGAAATAGGAGAGGCCCGAGAGAAGCTGCCCCAAACCAGGATGGCTGCGGGAGTCAGGCGGAAGTCAAGGCGGGCCTGAGAGGACCCCGAAGGGTGGGCTCATTTGCGACAGGCTGAGAAAACGAGGGAGGCAAAATATGAACCGAAGCCCAGAAGCAAACAGGGAACGAAAGAGAAGGAGCTGGAGGGGTGGAAGAGAGAGAGAAGGAAAGGGAAGGAAGGGAAGAGGAGCGTGGAGAGAGGGGGATGAAGAAGGAGGAGGAGGGGGAGGAGGGGGAAAGGCAGCGGTAGCGAGGCTACGGGACAAAGCTCTGTGCTCTGCACTGACTTGGGACACAGGGGCGGATGGAGCAGGAAGGAGGGGACTGTGGACCAAGCATTGCACGTACACACGCTGACCAGGGCCCTGGGTGCCGGGAGCTGGCCGAAGCCCTCGACCCTAGGTGGACCAACAGGAAGTGAAGCAGGACCCGGGGCCCATGATCCCCTTCTCCACCGTAGTAGGGATATTATCTGAGCCCCCAGCTGCCCAGGCGGGCAAGTGAGGTGGGGTCCTGTGGCTACGTCCTGGGGAAAGGCACGGAAGCAGGACTTTTATGGGATGGCCTTCTTAGAAAATAGAGCTGTTTTAGGGGCGCCTGGGTGGCTTAGTCGGTTAAGCGTCCGACTTTCGCTTAGGTCATGATCTCGCGGTTCGTGGGTTCGGGCCCCGCGTCGGGCTCTGTGCTGACTGCCAGCTCAGAGCCTGGAGCCTATTTCAGAGTCTGTATCTCCCTCTCTCTCTGACGCTCCTCTGCTCACGCTGTCTCTCTCTCTCTCTCTCTCTCTCCTAGAAATAAATTTTAAAAAAACATAAAAAAAAATTAAAAAAAAAAAAGAAAATAGAGCTGTTTTGGAGGATGCCAGGAAGTCATTTAAAACAAGCAAACAAACAACTGGTAAATAGAATCAAACATGTATCCTGCCTTTCCTCTATGAACTCTATTTCAGGTTAATGAAATATTTGATGAGGGGAAGTTTCTCTTTATAGAAGTATCGGCTAATAAATGAGGAAGAAATGAGATGATGAGAATATCAACATAATGAAATAATAGTTCTAGGCAATGGCCACTAATAGTTGTTAATGTCACCAAAAGAGAGACAGTGGGAGGTAACACGTCTCCTAATAGAAGAACAGCCTGCCACCTATAAAGTAGTCATTCCAGAAAAATGGAATCTGAACCTAATGAAACTTCTAGATCTTAATTCCCAACTGATAGGAAGCACAGGAAACAGAAACATATTAAAAGATATCATGGGAGGCAGTGAACAGAGTCTAAATTGTGGAAACGTGACAGAACAAACCAGCCATTTTTTTTCACGAATGGATGAATTCTAAGGGGGAGAAAAGGAGACGGAGGGGCAACCTATAGAGACAGAAGGGATATATCAACCAAATGCAACATTTAGACTTTTGTGAACATGATTAGAACAAAAAAATAATTGGGGAAATGCAGACATCAGATGTTAGGATATTACGGAATTGGGTTTTTTCAGATAAGATAATGGTATTGTGTTTGTTTACACAAAGCATCCTTGTATTTACAAATGCTTTGCAGATAAGATTAACTGATGTCTTGGGGGCTCAGTCGGTGCAACATACAACTCTTGATCTTGGGGTTGTAAGTTCAAGCCCCACACTGGGTATAGAGATTACTTTTTTTTTTCTCTCTTTTTTTTTTTAAATATTTTTATTTATTTATTTCTAGGAGAGAGAGAGAGACAGTGTGAGCAGGGGAGGGTCAGAGAGAGAGGGAGTCACAGACTGAAACAGGCTCCAGGCTCTGAGCTGGCAGTCAGCCCAGAGCCCGACGCGGGGCTCGAACCCACGAACCGCGAGATCATGACCTAAGCGAAAGTCGGACGCTTAACCGACTAAGCCACCCAGGCGCCCCTAGAGATTACTTTTAATTAATTGATTGATTGATTGATTGATTGATTAAAGGAAGGAGGGAGGGAAGGAAGGAGGGAAGGTAGAGAGGAAGGCTCTTACCTCTTGACGGGGAGGAGTTTAGGTGAAACCAGATTGGCATTGAGCTGATAATCGTTGAAACTGAATGACAGACATGTGGGGATTCTTTCTATTATTCTCTCTGCTCTTCTTTATGTGATGGTTAATTTTGTGTGTCAACGTAACTGATCTAAAGGATGCCCAGAGAGCTGGGGAAACACGAAATCTGGGTGCGCCTGAGAAGGTAACTCTGGAAGGGATAAGCATTTGAATTGGTGAATGGTGTAAAGGACTTCCTCTCTCCAGTGTGAGTGGGCCTCGCCCAATGCACCGAGAGCCTCCACAGAACAAGGTGGAGGAAGGGCAGGACTTGCTCTCTGCTTGAACTGGAACATCCACCTTCTACCCTCAGACATCAGTGCTCTTCGTTCCTGGGCCTTCACACTTCCCCTGGGACCTGCACCATTGGCCCCCCTGGTTCCTGGGCCTTGGGTTTGGACTAGATCTTTCACCACCGGATTTCCTGGCTCTGCAGATGGCAGCTCGGGGGACATCTCAGTCTCCATAACCATGTAAGCCAAACCCCTATAATAAATCTCCTTCTATATATCTACATAAATCCTCTTGGGTCTGTGTCTCTGGAAAACCCTAATACAGCTTATATTTTAAATTTTTCAAAAATAAAAGTAAAAACTGAAACATACAGAAAAACAGCCAGCACACGTCCTCGTACTCTGCAAGCACACGAAAAGATGTTTCCTCTGGTTGGGCAAGTTCGGAAATGGTGCCTGTTCCTCGTATTGGCCATAGGCCTAGGCCGGGAGCTCAGGCTGACTGTCAATTCCTGCTCACCACCGCGGACAGTCCCTGCTCTGCTGTGTGACGCGCACAGCAACACGGCCGGTCGGCTCGCCATTTAGTTCACCACGATGGTTTACCTGCTTCACAGCCTTCACATGAGAGAGAAATAAACTCCGATCTTATTTAAACCACTGTCTCTGGGTGTCTGTTCATAGCCAAACCGAATCGAAATTGAAGGTAGGAGGGACTCATACTCCAAAAGACACACTGAAAATACTCCAGGGCTTCAGATACGGAGAGAGTGTATGTAGTCAGGTGGATCGGTTAGCATTTGCTGCAAAGATATTACATAATAAATAGCTGTAAAACCACAGTGACACAACAATAAGCATTTATTCTCACAGATCCCAGGGCTGGCCAGCCCCCCGCCCTGCCCCGAGGCATCCGGAGTGGCTCTGCTTCTCACAGCCAACCTGTAGGTTGTGGGCTGGTCTTGCTCCACCTGCCTCTCCTCCTCCATCAGCTAGCCCGCCATGTCCCTCTCTGGCAGGAGCTGATGGAACCAGGCAGAGCCTCATAAGGAAGGCCAGTGGTGATGGAATTCAGAGCCCCAAAGAAGCCAAGGCAGATGGTGAATTAGGAAAACAACAAGTGTTTCATTTGATGGAAATTGTGTGTGTGTGTGTGTGTGTGTGTGCACTTGGTGAAGAAAACAAGAATATATTTGGTCATCTATGGGCAACCTGGAGGTTTCTGAGCAGAGAGGTGAACGATCAGGAAGAGAAATCTATGTATGCACAAAATGAATGGGATGGGGGTAGATTCTAGGGCTCAGGAAATCAGGCAGATAAATACTGGGGTGAAGTTGAAAGTCAGACTTAGGTGGTTCACCCATTGATCCTGAGTACAGGAGTATAAAGGAGGAACAGAAAACACCTTTGACATTTTTAACCAGGGAAAGAATGTTCTATGAGCACTCCTCCCCTTATGAGGATGTAAGATTCCAAAGGTGGCTCCCAAGCCCTACTGCTCTCGAATCCAAAGTGATTAAATATACTTGTCTCTGAAAATTTATGCTTTACTCTCACTCCCTTTGTAATTATCTGATTCTCTTACTATCTTGTCCACATTTTCTCTGATTTTATTCTTATTAGACATGAGGCACTTTTTTACTTTCATAAATCAACTCAAATGTAAGGATCGCCATAGCAAACGTGCCTCAGATTGAGGAAGACTAAGGTGGTGCTCCAGAGTGCTGGCAGCCCCCATGATACGTTCCACCCTTTTCCCTTGATGATACATGTGACTTTTAATTGGACATCCAGCCACCTGGAATAGTGACTACATTTCCCAGATTCCTTTGCAGCCGGGTGTGGCTGTGTAACTAAGTTCTGACTACGGGGCTAAAAGCAGAAATTCATGCATTCCTCCCAGGAAGTGTTCTTTAAGGCAAAGAGATGTGTCTTTCTTCTCTTTATCAGTTGTACTAACTGGAAGATGGATGTAAGGGCTGGAGCTAGAGCAGCCATCTAGGACTGTAAAATGGAAAGTGAACCTCATGCAGCTGGTGGAGAAGCAAGTTTGAAGGAGTCTGGACACCGGATGATTTCATAAAGCTGATCTATAACCCCCAGATGGTCTCTCTGTAACTTTTTTTTTTCTCCTAGGAATCCATGACTTCTTTAAAATAGAAAGGAATTACATGTCTATGTCATTGAAGCCATATGTACTTGGTAACTTTCTCTCACTGTCTCCCACTTGCAGGCAGGTGTAAAATCATCACAGGACCACTGATTCCTGTCTGTGGGTCTGTGTGAGTACTGGATAGAGGTGACATGCAAGGCTTTGCTCGAGCTTATGGACACGTATAAGTTCTAAGTTCCTAAACAGAGACACTACTTTCATGCACATCAAGAGGCAATGAGGAAGAAAAAAGCAGGGGGAATGTGGCCAAATATAATCAGCAAATGTTAAGGGCGGTTGGAACAAATTGGGTGTGACAAGATGAATGACCTCACCTGTCTCTGCAGGCAATGGGGGCTTTATGACTTTATCTTATTCCTTGGTTCTCTCGGTCTTTTTTCTTAGTTGGGGGTGCTGAGTGAGGGGTGGGCATCCATGTTGAGGGCAGAAGACAGTCCCTAGATTCACTGTCCTTAGGGGCTGGTTCCCATACATCAGTGTGCAAAAGACTAATGGAGAACTTGCTTCAGAGGTCCCAGCCCCTGAGAGTCTGACCAGGAGGGCCCGGCGCAGGGCCTGGGAATCTGCGTTTGAGCAAGCCCTACCTCCTCCCTGGTGAATCTCATGCAGATGGTGATGGGCTAGCTGGAAGAAACCCAGCTGTGAGGCCTAGATTGTCAGCCCCAAGGACAGCTTCTGCCGTGTCTGCTTTGCTCAGCACGCTGCTGTGGCTCGGGCGCCCATTCAATGCCTATCTATTGGCAATGGGGAGCCACAGCGCCGTCTGGACCAAGAGAGTGACTTTAAAAACACTTCCATTTCTGGCCCTGCTGCTCTGGGCCTGCTAAGGGAGAACAAAAGAATTTCTAACCCAACAGGAACTGAGGATTTTCTTTTTTAAAAAAAATCAGATTGTCAGGCCAATATTTGGATCCTGAACCTACTTTCTGACTGGGTGGCCAGTGTCTGACGGGCTCCCAGCGAGCTGTGGGTTAGTGCTGGGCGGTCTGCACTTTTGGAGACAGACCTGGGAGGGTGCTGAGGGAAGAGACAGGGTGTGGGGACCGAGGCCATCCTCACTCCTTCCCTACGGTGCTCCTCACCGTTCCCTGCAGTGGGCATGGGGAGGAAACTGAGGCTCCGAGAAGTTAGGTCACTTTGTCCAAGTCCAGGGCACCAAATTTACACTCAGGCTTGCCTCCTAGGCCTGGTCACTGCACAGGACACTGCACATTCCTGGCATTGGCACCCTGTCACTCTGGGTCCCAGCCCCCAGAACCCAGGGTGGCCCCTCGCCATGTTGGAGGCATTGGCCTCACTTTACAGCGGCACTTGTGGGGCCTAGACTTCTCGGCCCATCTCCTCAACATTTGTCCCCAAATCAGCCACAGTGCCCTCAAACACCACCACCCCTCCCTCAATGGCTCGAAAATGAGGCCTTGGGAAAAAGCAGTAAATGCTGAAGCCAATTTGTGCACGTGCCCCTCTCTGACCTGTCAGCCCTCTCGAAGCTGAGTCTTCCCACAGCTCAGGAAGTGCATGCTCAGGCCTCCTTAGCGTATTTCCCACATCTGCCAAATTGACCTGTAGAGACTTCCGGCTCCCTTCCCCCTCTCCTGCGTCTCCTGCCCCTGCTTCTCTGGGTACTATACGTGCTCTGGCCCAAGCTCCAAAGATAGGGGTTTCAGGTTGGGGTCTGGCGGACGGGTGGATTGGAGAGGCCTCCTGAGGCTGGTCCTCAAGACAGGGAGGGGCTTAGGGCCGAGGCCCAGCCTCTAGCCCTTCAAAGACCCAGAGGGAGGTAAGAAGAGGTCAGAGGCCAGCTGGACCTGGGCATGTCCCCCTGCGAGGCAGCTGTGGTCCCGGCCTCACACCCCACAATGTGTTCAGGTTACATCATTAGGCCTGAATTGATGTTGATTACAAATAATAACTGCTCCAAAGCAAAGCCAGATGGGGAGTGAGTGTTCAAATTGAATGAAGAAGGAAATGAGCTGCGTCCGCAGGGAGAGGGGCATGTGGGGGGCCTTGGATCAGGGACTCTCAGACTCAGAAGGGAAAGTTTACAAAATCTGGTCCAGCCCCCAACTCAGGAAGGGAATCTTCACTCTACCATCACCTGAGAGCGGTCACTCGGCAGGGATGCTCCCTGAGAGAAGGGGTTCCTTCCCCATGTGTCTGTCCTTCTGGGTCCCACCCACCCGTCTGTACATCGAGCGGCTCATCCGGACGCTCTTCAGAACCCCTGCCTGTGCTGACACTCCTCCCTGACCCCTGGACTCTTAAACCCTGGCGGGCTTCTGACTTGGCCTTACATGAGGTTACAGCAGTAATGGCTGACAGAGTCAGAAGTGTGCAGCCAGGGGTCCGCAGCATGTTCATCCTAGAAGCTTCCATCCAAGGCTGCGAGAGTGAGTCCCAGGTCCCTGCACAGCCCAGGGGGTCAGGGGACCGTGAGACACCTGGGAAGCAGCTGAGGTGAGAGCACAGGGGACTGCAGCATTTCCCGGCCGACCAGGACCAGCTGGCCCAGGATATACAGGCAGCAGAGGTGCGGGCCTCGCAGATGCGACTGCTTAGCCAGCAGAGCCCTGGGTGTGTTTGATTTTTATTTCAAAGCTTCTCACTCCAGCACATAGCCCCACTCCCTGTGATCTACTCCTTATACTGGCCCGTGTGTCTTTTTCCATTACCTGCCTGTGCCTGAAGCATTTAAATTTGCCATTCCTGGCTCACCTCTCTGCCAGGACATCCTCCCATAAACACCTCTGACCCTGCTCACCCTGGCCACGCCCCCCCCCTTGGTTCCAGCACGGGCCTGAACCAGCCCTGTGTTCTTATTTTCCATGTGTTCTCGAATCCCCTCATCTGCCCTGCTTCCTCCAGACACTGACAACGTCCGACTCATTTTTGTTTCTCTATGTTGCCTAAGGGGAGGTGCAAATATTCTCAACGTGGGCAAAATGTGAGCCTCACTTTTTTATTTCATTTTGTCTTATTATGGTAAAATACACATAACATAAAATTCACCACTTGGACCATTTTTAGTGTACATTTCTATTAAGTGCATTCACATTAGCACTAAGTATCTTCAGGTATAATGTTGTGCAACTAACACCACTATTTCCAGAACTTTTCCACCACCCCAAAAAGAAACTCTGTATTCATCAAGCACCCCATTCCCCCTCCCCCTGGCCCCTGGGCACCTCTAATCTGCTTTCTGTCCCCACGCATTTGCCTCTTCTAGATATCTTGTATAAGTGGAATCATACAGTATTCGTCCTGCTGTGACTGGCTTATTTCACCGCGTCGAGGCTCCCCACGTTGTAACGTGTGTCAGAATCTCGTTCTGTTTTAGGGCGGACTATGTTTCCGGTGTGTGGACAGACCACATTTTGTTTATGCAGTCACCTGTGGACGGACTTTTGGGATGTTTCCCCCTTCTGGCTACTGTGGCCATTTGCCACGATGAACGCTGGTGTACAAGTATCTGCTCGAGTCCCTGTTTCCAGTTCTTTGGGGTATACGCCTAGGAGTGGAATTGCTAGGCCATACGGTAACTCTATGTTTAACTTTGTAAGAAATCACCATGCTGTTGACCAGGCGTTGCTTTGAAATCCACAAACTGCGCCCTCTGCTGGGAGGCTTCAGTCTCCTGCTCTCTGCCCATCTCCTAAACCAAGGTCAACCAGGAGCCGCCTGTGCCTGACAAATGCAGCTCTTGTGGTGTTGGCCTTGGCGGCTCCTCATCTGTTTGCTGGCCTCTAGGCTGTAAGTGCCCTGGGGGCAGGGCCAGGGTCTTCCTGACTCTCACAACCTCAGGAAATCATGTGCTCTTGGCTCAGGATAAGCCAGGGCCAAAGTGAATACATATTTGACTGACAGGGTGACTAGTCGCTCCCCCACCACCACCACTACTGACCAGCTGTCTGTTGTACTGACAGAACGACATTGCACTCATAGCACTCTCTCTATTCTCTCTGCCAAATCACAACCTTTTATTCTTGACTGGAAGAGACACTCATTTCCTATCTGCCTATGAAGGGACTAAGTGTGGGCTCAGAGATCCGAGGTTGACTAGTTATGTTACCATGGACAATTTTTGGAAGCTCTCTGAGCCTCGGTTCCTTCATCCGTGTAATGGGGGTAATACCACTCCTTACCACAGGTGCCAGCGTACAGATTCAACATACGACGCTTAGCACACAGTGGGCCACAGCAAAGCCCTGTACGTGTCCTGATATACACTGGGGTAGCATCAGGAGTCATCCTGCGCTTTTCTTTCTGGTTGATGCCTCCTACACAGTCCTCGTTCTGTTTTGGAATTCAAATCCAGTACCTAAATCAGGGTCTGGCACAGAGTATGTCACTCAATGAATACTGAATGAAAAAAATTGCTGGCCTATCTTCAACCCCAGTAAGTCATAGCTTTTGTTACAGATGAAATGCTTGTGTCTTCCCCAAAGTCATCACCTCCATGTGATGGTATGAGGATGTGGAGCCTTTGGGAAGCGATTAGGATGAGATGGGGTCATGAGGGCGGAACCCCCTGAATGGGATTAGTGCCCTTAGAAGAGTCATAAGAGAATTTGCTTCCCCTCTGCTCTCTGTCCTGTGAGGACATGGTGAGAATTTGGTGTTCTGCAACCCGGAAGAAGGACCCCACCAGAACTTGACCATGCTGGCACCCTGATCTCAGACTTCCAGACTCCAGAACTGAGAGAAATAAATTTCTGTTATTCATAAGCCACCCACTCTGTGGTACTTTGTTAGAGCAAAGTACCAAACTGAGACAGCCCTTTTCCCAGGCACCAGAAGACTCTGAGACCAGAGATGGTCTGTGAGTGTTATTAGTCAGGCTGCTTTTAACTGTAATGAACAGAAAACCTTATTTACGGAAGCTTAAGCCACAAGTTCATTTACTGTTGACGTGGCAAGTCCTGCAGTGGG